TCGAAGAAAGGACATACTTGGCTCCTCAACATGCAGGACCGATTCTCCAAATGGGTGGAACTCCGACCTCTCCGTCGTGCCACCGCCACCGCCGTGACACAAGCCCTAGCGGAGGACGTAATATTGCGTCACGGATGTCCGGAGATCGTTATCTCCGACAACGGTACGCAATTTCGGTCTGCTCAGCTCGAAAGGTTTCTAACCTCCCATGCGATCCGTCACACGTATACGCCAGCACACACGCCGCAATGCAACCCGGTGGAACGAACGAACCGGTCAATTAAAACGATGATCGCGCAGTACGTGGATCGAAACCACCGAAACTGGGATGAACGCATCCCGGAGTTCCGATTCGCGTACAACTCCGCGCATCATGACGCGACAGGGTATACGCCGGCATACGTAAATTTGGGCCGTGAGCTGCTGTCACCTGCGAATGCCGCGAATAGCCGACAAGGCCCCGCCCCGCCGCCCGATGTCACCCGCCGACACCTCGAGGAAGCATACGAGCTCGTGAAAATCAATCTGGCACAAGCCTTCCAACGGCAGCAAAAGTACTACGATCTAAGGCGTAGAGCGTGGAAACCGAAGATCGGAGAGAAAGTATATAAAAAAGAATATCCACTGTCGAAAAAAAGTGCCGCCTTTAATGCCAAGCTCGCTCCAAAATTTAAAGGACCGCTCGAGGTGCGGCGCGTGATATCGCCGGTTATATTCGATCTGCGCGACCGAAGCGGCCGTTGGCACCGACACGTTCACATTAGTGACTTAAAACCCGCCCCGATCGACAACGATACCGACAGCGACCAACCAGTCCCGAACAATATCGAAGACGACACAGACGTTTCCGAGCACGAGGAATCTTCTGACAGCAACACCGACCACGAGGACGAAAACAATAACACGGACGACGATGCCCGGTAACTAAATAAACCGAATTCAAACGTACGAACCAAGAACATCAGTTAGTATTCGGACAGCTATGGAGGCAGACGAATGCCTACAAGCGATAGACGCGTACTTGGAGAGCGTGGAGTGCATCGAGCCTTACGACCCGGCCAATCCCGCCATGACGGGACCATTACGGACAACGGTAAGGGTGGACAAGCCGGTCGCCCGCTGGCCGCCGCCGCCGAAGCGCAATCCGGTGGTGGGATGCCTGGTACAGGCGACGGATCGACAGCGCAGGGAGAAACTCTCTTGGCTGACGACCCCGCCGCCGCCGGTACCACCACGGAGGCCGACAGCGGCGGGGCGAGCGGATTGTCCCACCCTTACACCCGCCCGACCGATGGGACCGATACCGCACGGCCCGGTGCCGGTCGAGGTCGAACCGGGGTGCATCATTGATGTACCATATTTCGCAATACATGTAACGCGGAAATACAAAACACGATACGCGGGGGCGAAGTGGATCATCCGCTTCAATCTCGAAGGCTCGGTGCGCTCGGTGAAGAAGTGTCCGATTACTGGCTGCGCGAGCAAGTAGGGTGCCTCGAATTCAGGCACTTTTACGAAGGGGGTTTTGTAACGATGCCCCCTAAAAATAGGCATCGTACCCGGCACAAAATCCAGCCGGCTGCCGTCGCAATGACCAGTGGTCATTAGCGACGATGAGGGCGCGGTGCGCCCGAATATATTTTTAAAGCAATACAAAGATAATTCGCAGGTACAGCAGCCGCAGTAGAACCGCCAGTCTCGCCGAAAGGTGCCGACCGTCGTCGGGAACCGCCGATCGGAAATCTTCTCCCACAAGAAGCCGATCGGCGGAAAATACCGCGACCGACCGAAGCTTTACGAGCGAGACTGACGACCGAGTATAAGATACCGCGAGATCAAGCCGCGCGACGCATTTTTGCCTTCACCCACGTTCCTGACACATCCGATCCGATCACCAGCTCACGATACCGATCCAGCGACTCGCTCGTCCGACGAACCTGAGGGGTAGGGTGTACCCTGCCTCTGCCGGGCGCTCCCGGCCGCCGAACGAGCCGTCCAGGAGACGCATCTAAAAGCGCACAACTAATTCGCGTGTTGCTCCGACGAACCTGAGGGGTGGGGTGTACCCCGCCTCTGCCGGGCGTTCTCGGCCGCCGGACAGCCGTAATTAGCTATCACTCCCACCTTCCGAACCTTCTTTTCCGCATCCCGAAAATCCCGTCTTGGTACTTGACATACGAAAAGGGGTAGGGCGCTCCCTGCCTCTGTCGGGCGTTCCCGGCCGTCAAGTACCAACTCCGTCTCCTCTATCCTAGCAAACAAAATCACGTATCGCGCCGCGAAACGACGCTTGCTGGCGTATACCCGCGTCCCGCCGCGTTGCAACGCGCCGCCGAGAAAACCCGCGATCGCTTGCACATATCTCGCGCCGTTTGAGAGTCGTTAGTTGTCGTTGCAGTGTCCGCGTCCGTTGTCAGCGATAACCTATATGTACATACTCTTGTTGTCCGCGCTCGTTTAGATATACATATATTCTGTTACCCGCGCTCGTACTTTCTTCGCTGTATTGTTGTCAGTCGCGTCCGTTAGCCATATATTTCTATATGTTATTTTCGCGTCTATTATTGTAAATTCGTTATCATATAATTGGCTTAATAAACCATGTTTCTTGTCCAACTCTTATGTTCGCATTAGTATTTTTCTGTTCCGATTTCCGACGCTTCACCTAATTTTCCGCCGCACCGTTCCGACGCGAATACTCTTTCCGCCGAACCTTTTTTTATACGACACGCATTTTTACGACGAGCTAGTCCGAGTATAAAAAATTAGGTAGTTACACATTTCTGCACTTGCGGAAATGATACATACACTAATACATACATACACTATTATATAAACACATAAAACATCTGTTTTTAATATTTCCATTGAACAGATATATCACAATTATACAGACTTTAACATACAGATTCGTGGGTCATCGAAGTACAGCAGTTCCCGTACGATATCAAGGTTAAGCATACAAGGCGTGGTACAACTTCGGATGAGTGACCGTTTGGGATGCATCATGAAAAAAAATTAATTTTCGAATTTAAGAAAATTCATCTTAAAAAAAATTAATGGTAAATATCAAGTTTAGGGGAGCCCCCGCCAATGACCTTGACCTTGACATATGTTGTCAAGGTCATGACTCTGAGTAACCTCCAACAGGTTTTAGCCGTCGCTCGCCCTTCGTTAAAAAGTTTTAACAAAATAAGTTTGAAAAATAACGTATCATTTCTTATAATTATACATATTGCACGTGGGTTTCGACTTTCTACGCGAAGCAAGAGCTACCTCACACCACTGAATAGGTTGGGTTAGGTTATTTTTAACAGTAGTGGAGCCCGCAGGGGGGCGGAACCTACTGCATCTACGCGAAGCGACTCTCACCCCACCTCTTTCTGTCGCTTTACATTGTACAATGTATGCGTGCATAGTTTTAACGTACGCTATGCATGTATGATATAAAGTACTATTCTACACCTTTTCCTGTTCAGAAACGTTAAACTTTCCAAGCGAAGTAACTTTCCCCCACCACCCTGCATAGGGGCATACGACTTCTACGATTGTACTGTTAGGGCAGATCTCCGACAACAGTGTGGGTGCGGGGGAGTGGCCGAAGGCCATTGATATTTACCAAAGCTTTATTGAACAATCCAAATTTATCAAGTGTAGCTAATATTTTTTATAAAAAAGATGCAGACCACGAGACTATTGCAAAAAATGGATGTCAACTTATAACTGGTATTTATAGAAGCAGAAAAATAAATATTTCATTAAATCAATTACGATTTGAGCTTTACCAACAGGCAACAGTAGATAGTATA